GGGTGGAAAGCAGACAGAAGCTCCCTGACACTGTGGTGCCCGAGGCCTTGACTGTTCACCGGAAGGCTGGCGGTTCAAACCCACCAGCCACTCTCAGAAGGGAGACCGGCAATCTATTTCCAGACACCTGAGCCGTGTGAGCCCAGGCCACACCTCTGAAACGTACAAATCTAGGGTTTGAATCTTGCTCCGTCGCGTTCCGTGGTCACTGCTGTAATCCAAGCACAATCAACTGCAGACATTGTTTTTTTTAAATTTTATTGTGGTTTGGGTGAAAGTTTAAAGTGCAACTTCATCTTCCCCACAGCAGTTCACACACGTTTGTTTCATGACACCGACTGCAGTCGCCACAGTGGGACAGCTGTCTTCCCACTTCCTCCCTGTGGTCACCTCTTCCCTGTGCGTTCCTGCCCCTGTGCAAACGCTGCCCCCAATCTCCCGGGATTGGTCGCTGTAAGGAGTGTATCTGCCTGATGTGAATGTTCACGCTATGTGCCTGTCTACTGCTCGCTGGAAGCTCCGGGAGTGAGTTCAATTCCAGGCCCAAAGGATGACTAGGGGCCGTGGTCTCGGGGGTCTCGCCGGGCTCAGAGCAGTAAACCTGGTCTTTTTCATGATCGCGCGTTTTGTCCCACGTTGTGCTGCCACTCTGTCCGGTATCTCCTGTGCTGCAGGCACTTTGGCAACGCCAGTGTGGACGGGGCTGGTTGGTGCTTGACAATGAGTTGGTTCCAGCTCAGATAAAAAGCAAAATGTCACCCGCGCTTAAGTCCATTGTTGCAGCTCTTACATTAATCCATCTCACTGAGTTTTCCCTCATTTCCATGGCCCTCTACTTCATCAAGCATGATATTATTAATCCCTTCGTCTTTGGAAAGGAGTTCTGATGGTGCTGTGATTAAGCGCTTCGCTGCTAATGGAAAGGTCGGTAGTTTGAACCCACTAGAAGCTCCAAAGAAGAAAAGGACTCATGATATATCCTCATAAAGATGACACCCCAGGAAACCCTATGGGGCAGTGCTACTCTGACCCACGGTCACTCTGAGCTGGAATTGGCTTGACAGCAAACCACCAACACCACCATGACCACCACCATGACCACCACCACCGCCACCACCATGACCACCACCATGACCACCACCATGACCACCACCACCGCCACCACCATGA